AGTTGATGCAGAGGTGGTAATAGGAGCAGTAGTAGAAGCCACAGAAGCAGAGGAGGATGCAGCAGAAGAGGCCATTTGGAAACAAAGACAAGAACTTAAAGGACGAAGGAATAAGGTTCACCGGAGAAGAAGATTGAGACACAAACCAAAGAACAAAGTAGAGAAACTTGAGCGCGAAGGAAGAGAGCAGTGAAAGTGTTTTTTTTTTTACTCTAGGGTAAAAAAGAAGGGTTTAACGCGTCGTTGGGCCTAAGGTTAATGGGCTTATCAAATTAATTCAAATAGTTATTGTGAATATTTGTAACAGCCACCAAAACATTGCTTCCCCAACGACAAATTTATGGAGCAGAGTGAACACGCGCCGCCAAGACCATCAATCAAAAACATCAATGTCTCATCAAACGATCACTTGCATTTGATACAGAGCAGAGTAGGTTTTCATCGGAGAAGTGTAAAGTCACTATTGGAAGCTATTCGATGAGGCCTCGAAAATAATTCTCGACAGGAATTCAAATCTTTGAGTAGTATGCATATCAAGATTGAATTCCTAGGGGGGCATCTGTTGGGCTTGCTCGAAGATTTGTGTTGATTCGCAGATCAAACAACTCGAAAAGCACACTCATGAGGTTCAAGAAAAGTATCAAAGGCTTAAGTTATCTGTACTCGAAATATACTCGAATCAATGAGCCAAATCGAACTGAGAAGTACTCGAAAAAGTGGGAATTACTGAAGGATTCCAAAATGAAGTAATTACCTTAGAATAGTCAGTTGAAAAGTGATCGAAGAGGTCTGATGGACGCACTAGAGCGGTTATTAAAAGCACAGAAATAGAACACGTGGGAAAGGCGGTTAGAAGAAGTTACATACGCAGAAGTTGCATAACTCATACCCACATCAAGCATAATGGATAGCGGTTACACCCTACAACACTCAAACTCAAATTTTAACCGCTATTGAGTCAGTTTATAAATAGGAGTATTAACCTCGTGCACAGGGTCGGAAAAACTCATACTTGAATTAACTTCTGAAGCACTCTCTGTGTAGGCATATGACTTTCTTGCACAAGATCGTTTTTGGGTATGACTACTTCTTGGCCACGTTTATTATCTTTTTTTAGGATTAGGAGTAGTTTAGTTGTCTTTTCTCCTTTTAATCACTTATTCAGATAGCTTTTACACGTGAAATTGTAACTCTTTAAAGTAATGTGAACATGATTTGTATTGCAAGAATTTGTATTGTGCATTCAGTTTATTTGCGAGTTTATATGCATGAACATTATTGCTTGTTGATTATTGACGAATATCTGGAAACAGGTAATTGTTAGTCGGTGTGTTTGTACGAGAGTGGAGGTGTATTTATCATGTGCCTTATTGCATTAAGAAGTCTCGAGTCCATTTTGGCAACTTTGTTTTACGCTTCAGTCTAGCCCGTTTCATATCACCAAGCCATACTTTAATGCACTCTAACTAGGAGGACATGCTACCAAAGTCTAGTTAGAATAATTAAGTTGTACAAGATAGATATATTGCATGTATATAATGAGTAAAATTGAGACTTCCAAACCAAGTTATCTTGTCTGATCCCAAGATTTTTACACAATAAAACTTTTTTCTAACAATATATTTCATATCGTACTCTTTAAAGAACTTTAAACCCAATCTACTTACTAGTATTTTTATTTATAAAAAACATCACATTAAATCCAATTTATTTAACATAATTACCTTAATATATTACTTTCATAATGTAAGACTAAAATAAATTTTCTAAAATTATATAATTAAAAATAACAACTTTAAATTTGAGCAATTAAAAATAAGTTTATTTTATATACTAACAACATATTTAAGTTTTTTTTTTTTAAATGATGAATGGTTTTAATAGTAAAGTGGATGTCTGAATAGTAATTCTCCCTCCCCAATAATGAAAATGATAGATTTTTGCTTTCTAGTAAAAAAAAAAATAAAATCGGTAGAAGACTCTTGGATACAGGAGATTGTGTGAAGGTGGAAACTGTAATATACCTATGCAGACGTACATAAGATAATCATAAACGAGTTTCAAATTCAACTCTCCATTTCTTCAAATCCTCCAAGTATGCGACAATCTTCTGAATTTTGATTACGCTAAGAAGATCGGGTAGAAGATAAAGCAAGATCGAACGTTTCCAACACACCTTTCTTTTGACAACAAAATGGTACAAATGAAATAACTTGATTTGTCATCTTGTTTTACCTCGTTTTCGATCTGGTATATATTGGTTGCAACCCTATTACCTGCATACACAATCATATGTTTATTGACTGCAACCTATTTCCTGTCTCTATTCTCGCTATCTTCTTCTTTTGTGCTTTTGTTTTCCATTTGATTATTAAACAATGTCTGGTTATTTCTTTATCTGCACTAAATTTTAATCATTGTGAAATTATAGACGGGGGCAGAAGGCCCAAGCTACACAGTGGATGATGCTCTTGTAGCTTTGGGTTTTGGAAATTTCCAAATTCTCGTGCTTGCTTATGCTGGTGTTGGTTGGGTTTCCGAAGCAATGGAAATGATGCTACTCTCTTTTGTAGGCCCTGCAGTTCAAACTGCATGGAGTCTTTCCGCTCATGAAGAGAGTTTGATAACCAGTGCGGTTTTCGCTGGCATGCTAATCGGGGCATACTCATGGGGCATTGTTTCAGATAAACATGGAAGGAGGTGGGTTTCTCTTTTTCCAAAGTTCATCATCTTTTGCATTTATTAGTTGCTCAGGCACATGTGAAGTATTTCATTCTTTTTGTTATTGGGCGGTGAGTGGCCTGCTTATCAAATCTAGGATTAGCCATGCCTTGATTAAAATCTTCCAATGGATTTATATATCATTGGGTTTATTTCAGAATATATTAAACTGGATCTTAGCATCTAATATGATGGATGGTGCCAGGTTATGCCGACCATTATATCAAGTTATCTTGTCCCTCCTATATGTCATAAATTAAATCTGTTTCAATTTAAATGCTTTGTTTTCTAGTATACTTAGTATTGTTGGTTCATTTAATATTACCTTTTCCTTTGGCTTACTTTAAAAACTCAGGAAAGGATTCCTTATCACAGCAACAGTTACTGCTATGGCTGGTTTTCTAAGTGCACTTGCGCCTAACTATTTATTATTAATTGTCCTTCGATCTTTGGTTGGTATTGGTTTGGGAGGTGGCCCTGTATTATCATCTTGGTTTCTAGAGTTTGTTCCTGCCCCCAATAGAGGCACCTGGATGGTTGTCTTTTCAGCATTTTGGACTGTTGGTACAATTTTTGAGGCCTCACTTGCATGGGTAAATTTTGTTCATTTCCTTATAAATTTTCATTAATGGCAATATTACAGACATGTTATTAAAAATTTGATTTCTTCAAATCAGACTTTCTCCTCTTTCTTTTCTAGCTTTGCAGTTAACCATGAATCTAGATCATGGATTTCACCCTCAAAGTGGTCCATGGATTTAGATACGTATCATATTCTTTAATTGATATTAAATGATTCACATCACAAACATTTTGTTATTACTTAAACTTATTTATTTTCTTTACGAGCTCCAAAAAATTCTAATTTGCTTCGTTGGAGATTCCATGTTGACTAGAGATATGACTAAAATAGAGTATATAAGTGAGGAATAATTCTCACTTTACAAGTCGATTTTGTAAGTTTAAGTTAAACCCAAAATTACTTTTTTAAGATGGTATTAAAGTCTATCTTAACTATTGTTGTTGAGTCTATATGTTGTTGAGTAGTGTAATTCAAATGTATGGTTGGTATGTATAGTATGCCTATATGGTCTGTACATATAGTCTGATAGTTTAGTTTGTTAATATAATTTGAAGGTTTAGTTTGTACATAAAGTTTGATGGTATAGTTTGTATGTATTATCTGTATACCGCAGTCTATAAGTGTTAAGTTTGTATCATCTGTTGAGTTGACAGTTACTGTTTAATGTATTTTATAAATTTGTGTTTGTATTACCACTCTATAGGGATGAGTAGTCATACATAATACACAAGTGAGAATAATTTTTTTTCTTTATCCAGTTTTCACTCTCTATTATCTGTTCTTATTTTGCTCTATAAGTTTTTGTATGTGTCATCCCTATCATATGTCACCTGCTATAAAGCTACTATTGAACCATCCTCTATGTTCAATCCTACAAAATTCATGCTCATATCGACTAATAGGGTGACCAAAATAGAGTATAGAAGTGAAAATATTCTTCACCTTATAAGTTTGTTTTTTAAGGTTGAGTTAGACTCAAATTTGTTTTCTTAAGATGCTTAAAGCTTATTTTTTAATTTACCCAAGATTCAAGAACAAAGTTGCAAGCTTTCTCTCTATGAGATACTACCCCCCAGGGTATATGTACTTTCTTCACTTCACCTAGGAAAGTGCTAATGCTTCACCTCCCATTCTTAAGGAATGTAAATTTAATCTTGAAAATGTTTTGACAAATTTTCTAAGTTGGATATTATTGTGGTAGTTTTTATTCCTGCTGCATGACTGACAAATTATAGAGCTGATGGTTTCACCTGATGCAACATTCCTTTCAGATTGTGATGCCAAAACTGGGTTGGAGGTGGCTTCTTGCACTGTCTTCTGTTCCCACTTCTTTCCTTCTTCTGTTCTACAAAGTGACTCCTGAGTCGCCAAGATACCTATGCTTGAAAGGTAGAACAGCTGATGCAATTAATGTTTTGGAGAAAATAGCAAGAGTAAATGGAAGAGAACTTCCTTCAGGTACCCTTGTTTCCGACCACGAAATTGAGCTACAAAAAATTGATAACCCTTCAGAGGATGATCGCTTGCTTTCACCAAGAACAAATGAAGTTGAAGATCCTAAAGAAATAGTTTCCAATTTAGGTGGTATCTCATCGTTGTCAGTGCTTCTCTCACCAAAATTGGCAAGGTCAACCCTTCTATTATGGGCTGTGTTCTTTGGTAATGCCTTTTCATATTATGGCCTTGTTTTGTTGACCACTGAGTTAAATGGACACAGTAAATGCATGTCACATAAATTGCAGACAGAGAAGTCCCAGGATGTTAGTTACAAGAGTGTTTTTATTGCTAGTTTTGCAGGTATTTTCCTACTATTGCAGACTTTTCTTACTCGACCGATGCAGAAAAATGCATGACTGATACATAATTTTGTGCGTAGAGCTACCTGGGCTCGTCTTATCGGCTGCAGCAGTAGACAAACTCGGTCGTAAGCTCTCAATGTCAACCATGTTCTTCATGTGCTGTATTTTCCTCCTCCCATTAATATTCCGTCTGCCTGAAGGCTTAACAACGAGCCTTTTGTTTCTAGCTCGCATATGCATTACAGCAACCTTCACAATTGTGTATATATATGCACCAGAGGTAATGTATTCGTTGCAAAATAATTTAGAATTATCTTCTTGAAACAGAGTATTCGAAATAAACTGTGTTCCAATGAAAAAATTACAAACCAATGACACCTACTTATACGGTTATACTGTTGAATACTACTAATATAAGTAAAATACTACTGTAATAAAATAATTACGTTCGACCCAATTAAGAGTAAAATAACGAGGCTCATTAATCAATGAGAATGCTATTATTTTAATATTCTTCCCTGAACTGAAACTAGGTAAGGTTTATTGTACAAAAGTTTGTTTTTTAACACTAATCTTGTATTTTCTTCTTTACAAAACCAATTTGGCTTCTTAATATAAAGTAAAAGTGATACAATTTGACAAATGATATGAAGAGTATAATTTAATTATTTACTTTTCACTACCAATTAATTGATATGCAATGTATGTTTATCATTTGATTGTTGATTCATTTTTCAAATAAACTTCCAGATAATTATTTCATTGTTTCAACTGTATGATTTATTTATTTATTTTATGTGGAATGCGGGTTGAATAAAATTATCCTTTTTGTTACAGAAATTTCCCAGCCACCAATTAAAAATCAATTGTATGAAGTACAATAGTTATTCGAATTTTTCGTAAAAGATAAACGCTAGATGTGGTTTGACAGGGTGTAAGACGATGATACAGATAGTTAAAGAGAATATTTTTTGGTCTAATACTTCTTTATACACGACTGAATTTTAATATTTGGAAGATTTATTATTAATATGAACTGCAGATGTATCCAACATCAGTTAGAACAACTGGTGTGGGAGTTGCAAGTTCGGTGGGCAGAATTGGTGGAATGATATGTCCTTTGGTAGCTGTGGGTTTAGTACATGGATGTCATCAAACTGCAGCTGTCCTTCTGTTTGAGATCGTAGCTCTTCTTTCAGGAATATGTGTAATGTTCTTCCCACTTGAGACCATGGGCCAAGAACTGAGAGATAATGTGCAAGTCTAAAACCGACCAACAACACACATATTGAGGAAACAACTAAATCATGAAAACATACTGGCAAATTTTTGCTCTGCCCTTTAAGAAGAGGAGCAGAACGGCAGAAGAGAGTTGGAGAGGAAGTAACTATAGGGAAAAAGATTCTGGTCTTCCTGTATATTTCTTATTTCATTATATTTGAACTATTTCAGTTATTCGTTTCCACACATCTTGATCTTTTTATTTTATTTTTTTCAATGTGCGGATGCATATTATTTTGTAATCTGGAAAAGGAATTATTGTTGATGAGAGTAAAATGAAATGTCATTTTAGTTTTTTTAAATTATAAAAAAATAAACTCTAATTAGTAAGTGTTGTTAATTTAGCTTGACAATTGACATGGTAATATATTTGCCGGCGTAATGGAGTGTAGATGTTTATTTTATATAGTTAAAATTTACCCTAATTTTTTAATATATAAATTATTATATAATTAAAATTTATAATAAATTTTTATTTTTGAACATGTAAATATATTTTAAATTTATGAAAAATTATTTATAGAGGGATATAAAGTTATATTTAATTATTAATATTTTTAAAATATTGAAATTTAATTTATAAATAAAGAAAATGATCAAATAAAAAGTAAATTATATTTAGTCTTCGATCTTATTTTTTTTCAGAACTCAGCATAAAAGTATAGATAGTCATAAAAAAAAACTTTATTTTTTCATATTTAATTTAATTCCTTATCTTTTAAATATTTAATTTAATTCTTTATGCTTATAACGTGACTTAAAATAGTTATTTCTGTTAAATCTGTATAATTTAACATTAAAAAAAAAAATTGAGTTGACTACGTTCACATTCTTTCTTACAAGACAAATGGTCAAATTCAATTCTATTAAAAACATAAAAGACTAACAAGATCTACATAAAAATATAAAGGATTTAATTCAATCTAAACATAACTAGTTTTATTAATCCAAATTTAATTTCTTACATCAATCCAAATACAATTAGGGAGGGAAGTAAAACCAAGAAGGTAACGAAGTCTTCAATCTGATTTTTTTTTGGACTAATTTTAGTTAATCATTAGAATGTCCAACTTTTATGTAAATTGATTTTTTTACTTATTAAGATGTGTAATATATATTTTTTTTTCAGACTAATTTGAGGTGGTTGTAATTTGTATTGAATTTGACAATTGAAACTTTATATGTGTATTGTATTTACTATTATGTAAAACTGTGAAGTTATTGTATGAATGTATTATTTTTTTATTCATAATTTATTTAAAATTTGTTCAGTTATTTCGTTCAATACATTTTATATTATTTTTACATGGTCTTAATTTCAATATGATTTTATGAAATTGAATTAATATTTGGTTCTATTTCCGTCTCTTATTTTTTTTTTAAAATACATTTAATTTGATCCTTTATATTTTTAAATAGATTTAATTTCGTTCTTTATGATTTCAATAAGGTTGAATTTGATCCTTTACTATATTAAAAACTAGGTTAACATGTAAGGATGATGGTCAACTTAACGATAATCATTATGGATTTAATGAAAATAATTATTTTGAGGCAAAAGATAATAAAACTAAAGTGAATATAAAAAAATAAGATAAAAAAAAATAATTTAACAAGAAAAGATAAGAGATTAAAAATTTCTAAAAACTTTCATTGAAAAAAACTCTTAAAAAATAATTTATTTAAAAAATAGTTCTTAAAATTGCTCGTATATAATAGGTTATTATTATTATTATTATTAGTAGGAAGAGACACTTCATGTTTTTATATATTTATCTTTAAAAAAAATTTAAAATATTTTTTTTTGTTAAATTTAAGGAAAATAGTGTCCAATATAAAAATACAAATTCAGAGAATTATTATCAAAATTTATTTTCTTTATAATAGATATAAATTATTATTATTATTATTATTATTATTATTATTATTATTATTATTATTATAAATTTAAGATTTTTTTTTATATTTGGGGGTATAATGATCCATTAAAAAATGGAAACCAAAAAGTGGTTACATCTTCTATATCCCTTTATAATAGTTATAGATATAAATTATTATTATTATTATTATTATTATTATTATTATTATTATTATTATTATTATCAACAAAATGAACTGTGACAGATCAAGGTAGAATGCCACGAAAAGTTAAATGTCATCCGTTGTTAGAATTTAAAATAAAATTGAATTTAATTTGAAGATAATATCTTATGCATAATAATAATTAATTTAAATAATAGAATATATAAATTTAATTTAAAAGTAAAGATAATAATATATTCATAATACTGGCTATTTAAATATAAAAAGTTGTAAAATTTTAAAAAATCTTTTATAAATTATATAAAGAAATCCCTATAATAATTAGAATCATCAACTCCTTTCTAATACATTTTATAATAGATGTAAAAAAATACATTTTTGTAATACTGTTTTATTTTTTAGTTAAAATTTATTAGAACTTATAAATTTTTTGAATCTTATGATAAATCTATTATGATTTTTTTTTTAAAGAAAATCTATTATGATTTTTGTAGTTCGTAATAAATTTCAATTAATACGAAAGTATGTGTTAAAAAAGTATATTTGAGAGTATTGTTAATTGTTAGTATATTTTTTTTTCGTGCAACAAAATCCGCAAACCCCCCTAATTATTAGCAATTTTATTGAACATATGAAATAATTTACATTTATTAAGAAGGAGGTATTAGACCACTAGATGAATAGACAGGTACTGTTCGTAATTTGTATTTCGGAGAGATTCTTGTGCGGCTTTTGAAGATCTTTCCTCTTCAGATTCATGGCGGCAACCCAACCACCGCAGGCTCCGGATCGTACCTCCGGTACGTGAACGCTGTTCAATTCCTCTATTCTTGTTATTATAATATTATAATTTCATCCAATTTTGACCTTCATAAATTTCTCTTTGGACGAAGTCAATGATTAATTGATAATTGATCAAGAATTCAATAAAATAGACTTCGTATTTGGCTTTGGTTGATGTTCGATGTCTATTACTTCTCTTTTCTAACCTTGCATCTGGGTGGTGCTGATCTCGCTATTTTGATTTTCTGCTTATGAATGACATCATCCGCCAGTTTTTTTATCAGAAAACAAATAATTGTGGACTCTCGCTGTAATCCCTGACGAGATCATCGTGGTCTCAGTCAAACACTCAAGCGTCATGCTTGATAGTGATAATTCAGCTGCGGACTATTTATCTCCTTGCTAATTATAGGCCGCCGGAGAGAGGGGGGCGGGAGTACAAGAGGGTGAATTATCCCACTTCAAGTTAAGAGATACACCATATTTTACAACAAAAAGAGAAAAGTGTGAAATGTAATAAATGTTGTGATAGAAAGAGATACAGAAAAATATGTTTTATAAATTGTTCTAAGATTTGTTGTATGAATATCACCTCCTATTGATTCATAATTATTATCGCTCAAGTTATCAGCAACATGAGAGACTATGACTTGAAGGCCAATTCATTTTATTTTTGTAATTTTCTGTGTGGGATCTATTCCACTTCTTTTTATGGTTCCATTGCTTTCCAGCAATGCAGTTTTACTGCGCCCTTATTCACATTCTTACTTTCCATTTGAAACTATATTCACGATCTTTATCTATCATGTGTGCATTGGTTTTCTAATGTGGATTTTTTTGTATTAAGTTATTAATTAAGGTTTTGCTATCTCCAAATTTATCTTTGGTTGGTCAATAATTTGTATTGCTACTTCCTGTATTTATAAGACCATACTGTCACTGAACATATTGATCATGCATGCAGAAGAGATACCAGCTGAACCAGATAACATGAAGGAGCAGGTAGTGGTTACTTCTCTCACTTTCATATGATCCTTATATCTAATGTCCTATTTTTCAGCTTCATTCAACAATACCTGAAAGTTCAATATCTTCTAACTCTTCTCAGGGTACAACAACTATAGGTCATTCAAGGGAGACAACAAGTCAATCAGGATCTTTAGGTTCAGGTGGAGATTGTCCTGTATATCCTCCTAATGTGTATGCTCCCCAGGCCCAGGCTTTCTACTATAGAGGTTAATATTTTTATTTCTTCATTTTTGCAAGTCTTTTTTATTCTTTGAAAGATTTCTCACTCTATTTGTAAGTGGGGCAACCATCTTGGAATTTTTAGCTATACATGGCTTTTAAGTTTTTCATATACGTGGGAAATGCTATTGTTAACTCCCTCACGTTTGTGTTACTTCCTTGACATTTTGAACTAAATTATTAAAATGGTACTATCATTTGGAAACTTATTATAGTTATTATAGTTATGTAATGTAATGCTTGGCTGAGTTATTTATCCTTTTTTAACCTTATTCAGCATTCTTCTTGCACTACTAGTTTACTGTCTAGGTTGCCCACCTTGATCTGCATATTACTTTCATTGTTATCCATCTTTATGTGCATTTTATGACCCAACTAACAACTTTAGAAATCTATGCAGCTGTATTTAATTATTTTTGGACAAGATGAAGTTTATATGTTTTGATAATCAGTTGCAAAAGTCTTTGAGACTTTTAAATAATTTTTAATGCTTTGACATGAATGGAGGACCTTTGTTATTTTTATGTACATAATTTAGTAACATGTTTTTGGACACTTTCATCAGATTATTGCTGATTTTCCCCCCTGACACCATCACCACATATTATTATCAGAAAAAATTTCAAATTACAAAGTGGACATTGACAATTGAAGTCTCAAATGTCTTTTGGTGCTCCTTGTTAAAGTGTGTTTTGTTTTGTAATGATTGTTTGGTAATTTTCTAATTTTTGTTGAGTCTGACTCCAGGTTTTGACAACGGCAATGGTGAATGGGATGAATATTCTCCATATGTCCATTCTGACGGATTAGAAATTGGATCTCCTGTGAGAATATGGCATCTCTTTCTTATTTATGCACAGTTTCTGTTTTTAATGCTTAACATAATATATGTTCTTTTATACTCTTTTTTTTATATTTATTTTAGGGTGTCTACAGTGAAAATCCATCTCTTATTTTCCACTCTGGATATGGCTTCAACCCTCAAATGCCTTATGGACCATATTCCCCAGTTACCACACCTTTGCCTTCTGTTGGCGGAGACACACAGTTATACTCCCCTCAGCAATTTCCATACTCTGGGCCACCTTATTATCATCAGCTGGTTCCTCCTAGCTTATCATATCTTAATTCACCTACTCCAGTTTCACAGCCAGAGCTCACCAACCTGGTAGGTATTGACCAACAAGTTGATAACATGTTTTTTGGACCAAGAGCAGGATATCCATCAGTGGGATCTTTTGGTAGAGGCAGTTTTCCGGTTGCCCCTGGTTCCTTCAGCTTTCATGAATCGCAACAAGGATTTGAAGGATCAAGATCCGGTGGAATCTGGTCAGATTGCTCAAAACCCTCGGAAAGACAGAGATCTTTGATGCCTCTATCGCCATCTATTTCTCCACAGCCAATGGGCTCACTTGGGTCATTTGGGCCTAGTGTTGGAATGGTTTGTCTATAACTTGAGCATAAATATACAAAATGTTTCATTTTCTAACAAGAAAATTTATAGCTCTTAAAAGAGATAAACCCAAAATAAAGAATAATAGAATGTGTATTGTTCAAATGTGCTCTGAATTTCATTAGTAAAAAGAGCTTGTTTTACAGCTACAAAAAATAATAAAAAACATTAACACATTAAGCTAAACTGCTAAAGATGCATAAAACAATGACTAACTGGATCATCCTTATATGTCTAACACTACCTCTCTAGTTGGACTATATATATCACATGATCCAGGCTTGTTATAGACATAATTCTTCCAATGATTTTATGAAGATGTCAACAAGCTGGTCATTAAAGTTGATCAAAGTTGTGACAATGTCACGTAAATGGATTTTGTCCCTTGTAAAAAAGGGCGGCCCAGTGCACGAGGCTCCCACCTAGTGGGGTCTGGGGAGGGTAGATGTACGCAGCCTTACCCCCGCAAGCGGAGAGGCTGTTTCCAGGACTTGAACCCGTGACCTCTTGGTCACTAAGCAACAACCTTACCGTTTGTAAAATGACAATAAATTTCAATATTTTTGGTTCTCTCATGCATGCTTGTGCTCAATGCAATATGTAGCATGTTAGGACTACAGTGAAGGGTAGTTAGTTAGAATATTAGTTTGTTAGTGAGATAGTGACACAAATAAATAGGAGGGATGAAGGGGAGAAAAAGGCATTCATATCTTTTAATTTGTATATTGAGCTTTGCCTCTTTGCAAAAGGAGAAATTCTTTGTGAATGGGAAATCCTTGGAGGAGAGTTATCTCTCCTATTTTTTGTTCTTTTCAACATGTTCAATAAAATCTTTCTTTTGTTTCTCTTTCCTACTTCTTGGTTCCTAACATAGGACCACTTGATTATCTCACATAAGGGTCATCTGTCTAAATATCTCCAAACTTAATTTTTGTGAGCAATTATTTTAACCAGACTAGCAATATGTTGTGAGTTGTGAGTCATCTTGACTCATCCAGATTGCTAAATTGTGAGTTAAGCACCTAAGCCAGTTGGCTCACTCTTTTGGTAAAAAAAAAGGGCGGCCCAGTGCACGAGGCTCCCACCTAGTGGGGTCTGGGGAGGGTAGATGTACGCAGCCTTACCCCCGCAAGCGGAGAGGCTGTTTCCAGGACTTGAACCCGTGACCTCTTGGTCACTAAGCAGCAACCTTACCGTTGCGCCAAGGCTCACTCTTTTGGTAGCCTAGTAAAAATACTACAAGATTTTACGTACCAAGAATTGGTGAGTTGGCTCACCTTATTTTCAAATAACAAAATGAGAATGCATAAAAAAAACTAACGTGAAAGAAAAAGAACTATAAAAAAGGAAGAACTGAATATTTTTGTGTTTGCCATACAAGCTCTAATTCATTTTTATAGGTTAAGCTTATATAATTAAAAAATGGAAGCTAAGAATATTAAGGAAAATAGGGAACACAAAAGAAAAATAAAAAATCATAATTATTACAAATATACTCTAATATATAGTGATATTATATTTATTTAAAACATTCGTCTTCAAGTTGTTGAATGAATATCAATTATTCAAAAGGTTGCAGACTGTAGCTATAGAACCATTTTCCAACTTCACTTTGATGAATTGTTTGTCAATCTCTACATGTTTGGTTTAGTCATACTGCAAATAGCTGAATTAATATCACAAGATAGCTTCATGGAGTCCTCATATTTTAGCTTGAGGTCATCAAGTATGATTGTCATCTATAACATGTCAAAAATACTATGGTGTAGCACTAAATTCTATTTTTGCACTAGACCTATCAACTTCGTTTTGTTTTTTCACCTCCATGTCACCAAATTTCCTCCCATAAACATTTTGTACCTTAGAGATAGATCTTCTTTCAACAATCAATTCAACATAGTTTGCATATAAATACACTTCCATGGATAATGTACATTCTCTTTTGAATAATCGTCCTCTTCTTGGATTTACCTTCAAATATTAAAGGATTCTATGCATTGCCTACAAGTGTCTCTCTCAAGGATCCTGCATGAATGATTGACCACAGTTACAACATAAGCAATGTTTGGTCATGCAAGAAAAATAGACGAGCTTTGCCACAAGTTTTTGATATTGTGCTTTCTCTACTACTGCTATTTCTTCATCACTTTTTATCGGGTTGTTTTGTTTAATGGAAACTTTAAATGTTTTACACTTCTAATATTTTCATTTCCTTGTGAAGGTCGAGTACATACTTCCTTTGGGAGATAAAGATGCATTGTTTAGAATAGGCAACCTCCATCCTAAGAAAGTACTTAAGTTTTCCCAGCTTCAAATCAATTTGAGTTGTCAACTTTTCCCTTGAGACTTTTTCAATCTCATTACCTACAATAATCGTATCATCCACATAGATTAGACGGATTGCGAGCTTGCCATCATAAGAATGATTTATGTAAAGAGTATGATCACTTTGACTTGACTTTATTTGTATCTTGAGGATATCTTAGGATGGGTGAATCTTCCAAACCATGTTCGAGGAGGTTGTTTCATACCACAATACCTTCTTAAGCCTATGTACTTTATTCTTTCCATTGTGAGAATCAATTTTAGGGGGGTTTCATGTGAACCTCCTCTTCCAAGTCTCCATGTAAGGACATTTTTTATCATCAAATTGCTGCAGGTCCCAATTGAAGTGAGCTGCTAGGGAAAGGATAACCATTAATGTATTCATCCTTATTATTGTAGTAAATGTCTCCTCATAATCAATCCCATAGGTCTAGGTGTATCCCTTTGCAACCAATTTTGCTTTACATCGATTCCAGGGTGCCATCAAATCATACTTCACATTGAATATCCACCTACAACCAAACACCTTCATATCTCTCAACTTGTCTACAGTCTCCCATGTCGAGTTTCTTTCTTATGAGTTATGCCCTTTGTCTTCATTTATGGCTCATCCTTAGTTCTCATCCTTTATAGCCTTTTGAACTGAATTGGGAATTTTAATTGCATCAATGGCAATATGACTTTGATGTTGTGCATAAAGAATGGTCAATGCTGTTTGAACTATGGGGATTCTTGGTTCTAACAATTACACTCGAATTGTGATGTAAGATACTTGGCACAATTTTTTTCCTTTCCTCTAGGCAATTGCTAATTTGCTAGGTCAATAGCAACTCTTTTAGGCAAATTTTTATTAACATATTAAGGATTTATTACAATTGTCAACAAATCATACAATTGAACTTGTTGTGGGACAAAGGTCAGTTTCTTTCACCTTTGGTATTTGTTCCCATACTAGGACAAAATGTTGCACAATGGTGCTTTGCAAACCGACAAATATCTCAATGAAAAATTCAACTCTTTTGTAGACTAGTGAGGAATAAATATTGAAGCATGCTAAAAGGTGGGTGTTTAAAATGCTCATGTTAGAAGCTATGTTTACGAAAGTTCCCAAATTTCTAGGTTTGCCTGGAAGACAACACCTTTTTGTTGGTACCACCTGTTAAGATATTCTGTGATAGTAGGTGAACCAGAAAACGCAAAGGAGACCAACCCCCTTTTGGAAGATTCAGTTTTTTGGATCCTCCTTAGAAGGTGTGCCATCCTTGGGAATCTCTGCCATGAAGAGAAAGGGAGAAAACTAGTTCCAAATCAACCACCTCCAAAACAGGAACCATGAACACCTCCGAGACAGCAACCAAACGACCACCAAGAGTGTGACCCACAACTTGAAAAGGGTCAAAGCAAGAAGAGGAAGGGCCAACAAATCCAACGGAGCAAAGAACGTCGCAAACGGAGGCCTGGAGGCTGGCACGTGAACCCCATACGCTGGCGAGCTTCTCTGACAAAAACCGCGCGTGAGAGCCTGTGAAACACCAATTGGAGATGGCTTGCAACGAAGAGGCCAATCGGCGACCTTTAAACGCATTGGCGATGTCAGCTTCGACAACCGTTGACAAAAGACGAAAACCCTAGATGCCTCGGTGGCGGCTGGATTAGGGTTCCCTAGACCAGAAAGCTTTGGTACCAACTTGAATCTGAATAATTTCTTATTGATTCTGATTGATGGGTACAATCAAATAAATATACATGTAACAACATCAATCTCTAAAGATTTGGGATTAGGATCAATCTAACTAAGGAAACTATACAATAAAAGGATCTTCGTATGTTGTTGGAACTACAACCCACCTTATTCCATAGCAATTCTAATCGTCCTCGTGGCAAGGTATTGAAAGATGCAATGAAAGTGGAAGGTTATTGGACATTTTAAATCCTATGTAATTTTATGTATAGAAACAAAGATTATTAGTCAGTTGGGGAACAAAAAGGTATTGTGCAAGGATACAAATGGTTGGAGTTAAATGTTGTCCAATCCAACAATAGGGGCATGAGTTTCGTTAGCAACAATAATGTGTTGCTTTCCAAACAATGTGGAGTAAGATAAGAGGTATGAAGAAAAATGAGTCATATTTCAATTATCCTACCTAGTGTTGAGGATCCAAATATCTTGAGGAAATGTATCGGAGTCATTGAAAGAACTTTTACCTAGTCCAGGAGTAAGTGCCAAATGGCTTATTAAGAGAATTTACCAGAGCTTATAGACATTCTAGGTTTTCCTTACTTATTGTTTGTATTTCTTGGTAAGGTTGAGGAACCAGTGTATCTTTTTCCACAATCTTTGAGTCAATTGATCGACTAGCCTGCTTCTGTGCAGGATCCTTATGTCCTCCCAAGCATTCAAGGACCTTTTCCTCCCATGAAGTTTGTGGCAAGCATCCTTAGTATGGCTTTTAAACTTTTTATAATAAGCGTAGTACTCTTTATAGTTATATTTGGTGGAAGGCCTTCTAGAGGAGAACGACCCTCTAGTTGAACTAATTCCTGATGCCAAACTTGATCCCTCTCATCGGAGGTGTCTCCATCCAACATGACTAATCTCTGAGTTTTCTCATCCTGCACAGTATAAAACACTGATAGTGAAGTGAGTTTCTTTTTGCCCAAAATCTGAGCTTGAATTGGGTCATACTCAAAATTCCAGCTAGAGATAAACTTAGAGATCTTCCCTGGCTCAATGAATGTGGTTAATGTAGCAAATTCAACATTGCATTTCATTCCTATAGTAGTCTGCCACTGAGAGGCTTTCATTCTTACTACTGGTTCTTTATATAAGAAACAAAGAAACAAATGAGTGCATTTTCCCCCTAATTAGATGGAACTTGGACCCACTTTTAGATGTACTAATTGTTAATTCTCTTTTATACCCTTAATTTAATGTGAAATCTATTACTGAGATGTCCAGTAATTCGCTATGCAAGCTAAATTTCTACAGTAGTGGGAAAGAACATAAAATTCTGGCTAATTTCTAGAGTCATTGAATACTATAGCTTGGTCATAATAAGGAAGTCTTAATCGTCCCTACCGTCAAACTTTGGGTCAGCTTTGACTAGACCATTCCCCCTCAATATTACTGAGCTTCTTATGCCCTTTGAGAATAGTATGTGAACCAACTAGGCCCACTGAATATAATTAGAACAATCAACTTATCAAGTCAATATGAACCCAGCTAGGTGGGGGTCATTGAGACCCAGGGAATGAAAAGAGGAGCTCTTTTCTTCAGCCATGACAAAAATGGGGCAATGGTGACGTTCAGTTTAAAGAGAGAAAAATAAAGCTTGCAAACAATGATCACAAGATGAGGTATGAGGAAACCGACCCTTGAAGCTCTAAGAGGGGTTGTCGGCAACCATTTTTGTGATGATGCTGGTAAATGGGCATTGCCAAAGGGGGACGTGTGGCTTACACATTTCAGAGGCTGGGGCAATGTGTGGGGTGCACATGGAAGTGGATGGCTGTGATTCTTCAGGGATATGTTGGCAGCAAGGTGTTCCTCCTGGTGTAGTCACTGACCCAATAGATGGTGTGGGGCAGCGGAAGAAGAGCCCCTGAAACCAGGAGCCAACTTGAAAGAAAAAAATTGAATATTTTTGTGTTTGCAATACAAGCTATAATATCTTTCTATAGGCTAAACTTATTAAAAAGAAATAGGGAAACTAAACATATTAAGGGAAACAGGGGAAGTAGGAAAAAAATTCCTAATAATTACAAATATACTTGGAATATACAGCGAAAGGTAAAAAACAGAGTTAGGATTTATCTCCCCAAGCTCTGTTTCCTTATTAACAGAAAGAGATGAACCTTCTGGTATAGAATGGAGTTCTTGTCATGTTTGGACAACCCTCTGAATTTTATTAAGCAAATAGAGCTTGTTTTACTAGCTTTGCAGCTGCACAAAATTATATCAAATACTAAAACAAAGCTCAAGATACAGAACTAAATAAGGTTAACAGAAGCATCCCTGTATATCTAACAAACTTTAATGTAGGACAACTTTATTTGCCCTTGTCTGTGCTTATATACAAAATTAGTAGTCCTTTGAGATTCATTGGAATTCACCAGAAATCCAGATTTTATTGGTTGGAAAGTAGTTTGACTGGCTATGAAAAGAAAGAAAAGAAATCAATAAATTTTAAATGAAATAATTGGTAAAATAGGCTTTCATTTCTGTTTTATTTTTTTTAAATGACATCTTAAGTTCGGTTGACCCAAAAAGTTTCATTAACTAATTCCAAAGGAATTTCTTATTTGTGGTTTTGAATGAGCCATTGCTTATCATTTATGCATTGCAAAGTATTACTAAGCGTCGCTACAACGTGAAACTGTAGAAGTTGCTAGAGAACAACTCAAGTTTATATGTTGTCGCATGGTGCTGACTATCCTGTTTTGTACAGGCTTCTCATCAACATCAATCATTATATGGATTTGGATCTGGTTCAAACTCCTATGGCAGGGGCTACCTGCCTAACCAGGGTTCTAGCTTTGGAGGCACTTCCATTTCCAATCTCAATGTTAATGATAGGAGTTGTGCTTCTTTTGAAAATAGCAGACGACAAGGGAGGCCAATAGCTTCTCTGTGCAATTGTAATGGTACTCTTGATATCCTTAGTGAGCAGAACCGAGGACCAAGGGCCTCAAAGTTGAAAAATCAAATTTCAGCTGAAAATAATTCTGTGGATAATGGTAAAAATAGTGCACCTATTGCCAAGTTCCAAAATGAATCACTCAATCGCTCAGATTTTGCCACAGATTACAAGGATGCCAAGTTTTTTGTCATCAAATCTTATAGTGAAGATAATGTTCACAAGAGCATTAAATATGGTGTCTGGGCTAGTACACCAAATGGAAACAGAAAGTTAGATGCTGCTTATCGGCAAGCAATGGAGAAGCAAGATGCCTGTCCTATATTTCTCTTTTTTTCGGTAATCATCTGATACTTGTATCTGTTTTAGGCCCAAATATCGTGCTTCCATTTTCATCCTATAGTAGCTATATATTTCTCATCCTGTGTTCGCAACAAACATTGGTTCAGAGTTCTTTTTAATTGTGTTTATTTCAGATAAAAACATAAAGGAGTTTTTTTGGAGAAATAACTGTCTACCTTTGCACTTGACTAAGATAGCTTTAAAAAAAATGTGGTTATTTCCCATAAAAATCTCCAAACAAATATTCAAAGCGTATATTTATGGTATTGTGTTGCTTTAGCTTTAGTTTAATGGGGCAGGACATATTTTACGACTCCTGAGGTTGATATTACGTTTGAAATTAGTAGTGAAGTACTAGAATTAATTCATATAGTTTTTCATTTTCTTTGTTTTCTTTCTATTTTGTTTCTCTAACACATGACTGCCATGAAAAAATTTTCTACAACAATTTCTAGGTAAATGCTAGTGCTCAGTTCTGTGGGGTAGCTGAAATGGTTGGACCTGTCAATTTTGATAAGAGTGTAGACTTCTGGCAGCAAGATAAGTGGAGTGGGCAGTTTCCTGTGAAGTGGCACATAATTAAAGATGTTCCGAACAGTCAGTTTCGTCACATTGTTCTTGAGAATAATGATAACAAGCCTGTAACTAACAGTCGAGATACTCAGGAGGTAGGAATCATTAGGTCTTTCACTGTCTACGAATATATGAATCATGCTTTAACAGTTTTACTATTTTTACCATAGTTTCATAACATGTCAGAATCGGGAGGAAGATAAATGGAAATGATTGCTGCAGTGTGTCAATGAAAAGACTTTCGACAATTGAATGTTGAGTTGAGTTGAAAGAGATGATATTATTAATTTGTATCACACTAATTACATTCTTCTCATACCCTATTATAAAGATACATTTGTCCCTAAAACAGGTAACTATGAAAATAAACAAATATAAAAGAAATAAGAAAAGATTATATCAAATCTCCTAAAATAATAACAAATGTCCTAACATATTTTTATGTACAACACTCCCCCTTAAGTTGGTAAATGAATATCAATCATTCCCAACTTGCCTATCAACTCTTGAAATTTGCTAGTAGGTAGTCCCTTAGTAAGTACATCTGCCACTTGATATCTTGTAGGGACATGAGCTGTAACAATAAGACCATTGTCCAACTTCTCTTTGATGAAGTGTTTGTCTATCTCAATATGCTTGGTCTTGTCATGTTGAACCGGATTATAAGCAATGTTGATGGCTAACTTGTTGTCATAGAACAACTTCATAGGTAGCTAAATTTGAATTCTAAGGTCATCAAGAATAATCTTCATCCATAGCCCTTCACATATGCCCTATGCCAAGGCTTGAAATTCTGCTTTAGCACTAGACTGAGCATCTACATTCTGTTTCTTACTCCCCCAAGTCACCAAATTCCTCTCAAGAACATGCAATATTCAGAAGTAGATCTCTTATCTATGATTGACCCTGTGTAGTCTGTATCAATATATATTTCCATAGACATGGTGTCTCTTCTTTTGAATAGTAATCCCTTCCCTAAACTTGACTTTAAGTACCAAAGGATCTTGTCAATTGCGTACATATGTCTTTCACAGGGTTCATGCATGAATTGACTAACTACACTCATCACATAAGCAATGTTTGGTCTAGTGTGTGATAGATAAATTAGTTTCCCTATCAATTTTTTATATTGATATTTTTCCGTTGGTGGACTTTCTTCACTTATAATTTTGTGATTTTGTTCAATTGGAACTCTTGGGGTCCTGCATCCCAACTTTCCTGTTTCTTTAAGAAGATCAAAGACATTTTCTTTGAGAGATAAATATGCCCTTCTTGGAATGAGCAACTTCAATTCCCAAGAAATACTTTAGTCTCCCCAAGTCTTTCATCTCAAAATGTGTTGCCAATTTCTTTTTTGGGGTCAATTTTTCTTCTTCATCATCACCTACAATGATCATGTCATCTACATATACTAAAAGTATTGTAAGTTTACCATTAGGGGAATGTTTTATAAACAAAGTATGATCTCCTTGACTGTGTTTGTATCCCAAAGAAATCATTGTCTGGGTAAATCTCCCAAACCATGTTCATGGAGATTGCTTAAGTCCATACAAGACTTTTTTTAATCTACATATTTTATTTTCTTCCGCTGAAGCTTCATATCCTAGGAGAATTTCCATGTAACTTCTAAATCTCCATGCAGAAAAACATTCTTTACATCAAACTGTTGTAAGTCCCAACCAACCAAAATGAGCTGCAAGGGAAAGTATAACTCGTATTATATTCATTTTTGCCACTGGTGCAAATGTCTCCTCATAGTCTATTCCATAAGTCTATGTGTACCCCTTCATTACCAATCTTATTTTGTATCTTTCTACTATCCCATCATCTCTGTGCTACATTGTGAATATCAATTTGCATCCTACAACTTTCTTGCCTTTAGGTCTGTCTATCTACAATCTCACATGTTGAGTTCTTTTCCAATGTTTTCATTTCTTCCTTCATGGCTAGAATCCAATGTTCTTCTCTCAGCCTCTTGGACTAAAGTTGAGATATCTACTGAATCAATGGCAACTATAAAACTTTGATGTTGAGCAGACAAGTGGTTAGTACATACATACTGTGAAATAGGATATTTAACATAAGATCTTTTCCCTTTTCTCAAAGCAATAGGGATGAGTATCATTATTAACACTTATTTTCTCCAAATTACCTTCAGGATCACTTACCTCCGAGTTAGATGATTCCTCATGTTGTGGAACTAAGGTAGGTTTTTTCTTCCTTTAATATTTTATGCCAAAGAACTTATCTTTCTCTTATTCATTTTGGACATCCTGTAGAGAAAAAAATGGTAATAACTCTAAGAAAGACTCATCTTCAAGTTTTAAATTTTTCTCCCCCTGAAATCGAGGACAAACAAAGGACTCATTTTCATTGAAGGTAACATCCATGGAGACAAAGAACTTACGACTTTGAGGATGATAACATTTGTACCCCTTTTTATTTGACGAGTAACCAACAAAGACACATTTGATTGCCCTTAGATCTAATTTACCTCTATGAGGACAATGTGAATGGACAAAAACAACATAGCCAAAAACATGACAAGGTAAACTTGACATCAATAGGGAAGAAGGCACCAATGATTGTAACAATTCAATAGGGCTAACACCATTAAGGACTCGAGTGGGTAACTTGCTTATGAGATTGGTGGAGGTTAGGACAACTTCTCCCCAGAAAGTGTTAGGAACAGACGTTTGGAAAGTAAGGCTTTAGTAACTTTTAGGAGATGACGATTTTTCCTTTTTGCAATTCCATTTTATTGAGGGGTATTAAACACGTGTAAGTTCATGTACAATATACCATTATCTATGATAAATTTAGACAAATCACGGTTCACATATTCAGTACCATTATCAGATCTTAATCTTTTTATGGATTTACCAAACTGATTTTTAACAAGATGAAAGAAATTGACAAATATTTTACCAACCTCATTTATTTTTCACCAAGTATGTCCATGTTAGGTATGCCCATGTTATCTGTGTACAGTCATTAATAAACGTCACAAACCAATTAGCACCAGAGATAGATTTCACAACAGGACCCCACACATAGAGTGTATTAAATCAAATGGAAAAGAACTCTTATTACCACTAATTGGAAAAGAAGAACGATGGTGTTTAGACAACTGCCTAACATCACAATTGAATGATTCAACAGAAACTTTTGTGAACAAATGCAGAAACAAAGATTTAACTAGACTTAAAGGAGGATGTCCAAGCCTCATATTGAAGCCGTATTTGAGAGGTGACCCAAGTATTAGTCTTCACATGGTTACTTAAAGTTGATTCCATGTTCTTATCACCATTCTCTTTTTTCTCTAGAAAGTATAATCCATCTTGCTCTTTAGCAATTAAAATCATCTTTCCCGTGGCCAGGTCCTGAAAGGAATAATGAGAATGAAAGAATGTTACGAAACAATTAAAGCCTGTAGTGAGTTTTTATATAGAGATAAGATTGTTAGCCAATTTTGGAATATGTAAGGCATTATGTAAGAAAATGGAGGGCTCAAGTTGAATGCTGTCAGAGCCAATAATAGGCACATATTTCCATTAGCAACTATAATGAATTGTTTGGTGTTTGTTTTGGAATATGATGCGAAGAGTGAAAGAAAAGGAGTCATAGATCTATTCCTCCCGAATCAAGAACCCAAACTCCCTAAGAAATGAAGCCAAAAGTATTGAAAGTACTCTTACCCTTCATGAACATAGTACATGAGTTAGAGGGCTTATTCATAGATTCAATCATCATTTTTAGACAATCAATCTCTACCTTACATGCTGTAATATCCCATTCCAATCGAAAGAGATGGGAATTTGCATCACCCATGGATGAACTCAAAAAATAAACAACGGGAGAAAGACAAAGAAATTAGATCTACGAAAAACAGGAAGGAGTTGGATGACACCACCCTTTGGAATTGGTTGGGAGATTGCCGACGAACCTTTCTGGGTGGTTGTCGGTGAGTGGGTCTCGTCGGAGATGGGTGCGTGTCCTACACACATCGGAAAACATGGTTGACTGTGGCGACGTGTGGGATTGTTTCTAATCATGTGTTTCATGATGTTGTGATTGTTGATGATAAACGTTCCTTTCTGGCTCACTATCAACTTCAATGGCAACGACGATGACAACAACGGCAACGATGAGGATGGTTGCAACTCTTATTTTTATTTTAGGGCAGCAAAAATGAAGCTCCCATGATCGGGAGCTCTAATACTAAGTTGAAAGAAAAGAGATTATTAATTTGTGTCACACTAATTACATTCTTCTCTTATCTTATTATAGAGATACATTTGTTCGTAAAACAGATAACTATGAAAATAAACAAATATAAAAGAAATAAGAAAAGATTATATCAAATCTCCAAAGATATTTTTATTTACAACAAGTTGCCTATTGTCTTAAGAAACCTTGTCAAACATTTAGATAAAGTAAAACCTAAAATTAATTTTTTGTCATGTCTTTGAATGTTGACCTTGGTGTTTGGAATTACACTTGATAGAACTATGTCTGGGTCATCTACCATGTTTACTTTTTGCTCACCTGATTTATCTTCTAATTAATTTTCATATAATTCTTGTTTTTATATAAAGGGTGAATGACCAATTAGGTCAATTTAGTCTCCCATCCTAGGTATCACTTTATTCTATAAACTTGCAAAATGGGTTGTAAAAATCGGTTTATTGTGTTATTAAAAGTTGCATGCTACTGAATTTTTTGCTCCTATCTGAATTTTGAATATTTCAGGTGAAGTTGCCACAGGGGATTGAAATGTTGACCATTTTTAAAAACTATGAAACTGATGTGTCCATCCTGGATGATTTTGAATTCTATGAAGACCGGCAGAAGGCTATGCAAGAAAGGAAGAACAGGCAGCAAAGCAGCATGATGGCTACAGGATTAGTTGGAGAAAATGAACATAGGAATGCTGTTAACACTACTGGTGATTTCATGAAGCAGATGTCAAAGAGCTTTGCTCTAGTTGTCCGCTTAGATGAGAATAACAACGAAGTAGTTGCTGCGGACAGAGATAGTTTAGTCTCTCATGGTCCCATTGGCAATGTAGTTAAACCTGATGATGGTCAATCAGTGACTGCTGCTTCGACCCAAACCAATTAGGAAGATGTGCCGGTTGTGCCAAGAATGTTGTTCACATTTGGTGATTGAAAATCGGAATCATCCTCGCTTTATTTCATTACTTTTTCCAAACAAGGTAGCGTTGCTGTTGTTATTCAAGTTACTGGAGTCTATGTGGTTTTATAAACGAGGTTTTTACCTTAAAGAATAGGTTTCATGTATAAAGTGTCTCCTACACTGCGTCAACTAAAATTGTTGTTTTAGTTACACCACCAACAAAAAAAACTTCTGCTCATTGAGCACAGTTTAGATTTTAATCGTCACTTTTGTTTAATAATTTTAGGATTGTTTTAGGCGTGTTCCATTTGTAAAATTTTCTCTTCACAAGCATTTTAATAAAAGCAGCAAATCACCTTGAAAATATTCATCTTTTATGGTATTTTTTTATATTTTGATTAACCATAAATTTTGTTTTTAGTCCTTTAGGCTTACTATTTTTAAAATGTTTAATTTAGTCTTTTTAATGTTGTTTTTCTATTCAAATTAATTATATTAATGAAATTAGATAAAAGAATAACATTAAATATTTTTTTTAAAATTAGATGATTAAATAAATATTTTAAAAATAATGAGTTCACATTTAACATTTTAAAAATAACAGGATCAAATTAAATAAAAATTTATTTAATATTTTTTTAATAGAAAATTTGGATGTTTCTTTTATTTATCTTAATGAAATTATGAATGAAAATAAATTGACTACTTGAAATTAAAAAAAAATTGATTATAAAATGAAAGAATTATATAATAAAATAAATTATTGAATAAATGAAAGAAAATTTAAATTTATTTGGACAAAAGAAATTTAGATGAATTTTTGTTCAATTTAGTTCTTCTATTTATGAAATGTTTAAATTTGATCCCATTATTTTTAAATGATACAATTTAGATTTATAATTCTCAAACAATATTTAATGTTATCTTTTTATCTGATTATATTAGTGTTATTAGTGTCAAATTGAATAAAAGGATAATATGGACTATTTTTTAAAAAAATTTATATAATCAAATTGAACTATTTAAAAATGATAAGACTAAATTAAATTTTAAAAATAAATAGAAGGATAAAAATGTAATTTAGCTTTGATTTTACATTTAAATTAGACGCTTTTAAATGTTATGGAAGTGTAATATTTACAAATAATGAAATCAAATGACCAGGTTAATGTAATTTTAAATCATTTAAACCATTACTTGTTTGAAAACAAAGATTCCAAATATAACATGTGATTGTCTTTATTTTATTTAAGAGAAAACAGTATGGATAAAACCATTTGTTTCTCTATAATAACGCATTTATTTCAGTGTATTGCAACATGTTCATGCTCTGGCATTCCAAGAACTACACAAACTTGTGGCATGGATACGGGTACAGTATTGGGTATGGACAGTGGATATGTGAAATTTCAATAATCTAGGGTAGGAATACATTAATGTAACTCTAAAATATTCTTTTTTAATTATATAAACTTAAGTAAATTGTATAAACGATAAAAAAAGAAAATCACAAATAAATAAGACACTTGCTACTTGAAATATAATATCAAAAATAAAAATTTTAATATCTAAAACATGATTATAATATCACACTTGAAATATAATATATTTTAATTGTGATATTTCATACTTTAACAGTTGTCTATTTTTCAACTTTTCAAGTAAATCTCATTCATCTTTATTAATATTCCACATTTTGTTCTAACTATTTTTATAACACTTTTTTCTAAAGATGAGATGAAGATTTGTATCTATAAAGACTAAATCTTTAACTCTTTTAGAATTTTTATTTATTTATAAAATGGACAAAATAATATGTACTCTAATTTCTCTTACAACAAAAAGATGATAATAGTTGTGAGAGAAGTTTTTGGGCAACAGATTCAAGTTTAGGAATTCCTACACCATACATGACTCACCAATACTTTAATTTTAATTTTTAAATTTTTGTTGACATATATGTTTTACTTTTTAGACGTGAATACATATGTGATATGTACACAAAAAGTGTATTTACATTAAGTACTCAGTTTCTTTTATTTTATTTTTTTAAAAAATGTTTTGTGGTATGTACCCACCTAAGTAATGAAAGTTATTATTTAATGGTTTATATATATAATTAACAACTAACCATGTGACATGAATTTAAGAGTTTGATGACATTTGAACTTAATTAGAGATCTTGAACACTAATATTGATTAGCACAAATTATAATGGGTCATATTTTTTAATTAAATTATTCAACTTTTGAATTTGAGTATTAAAAATGAAATAAACTATCTTCAAAGAAAAATATTCATTATACGATACAAAAATTTGATATTTTTAGAAAAGAATACTCGCTTTATATGCATTGAGTAATAAATTGAATTTTTTTTAGTACATTACATACACCAATTACTTTTTTGATTCATGAAAATTAAACTCAAGTGTAAAAAAAATTTACAACATTCACACACTCTACTCAATCAACTAGTTAGATTATTATACAAATCACTTAAAATAAATAGTATATAACCACTTAAAATAAATAATATATAATTGAATCTTATAGTTTAAAGATAAATTTTTTAGTTTTATACTTATAATTTTTAATCTTTTTAATATTTATCATTATTTTTAAGAGTTTATGTTTTCTAGAACCTCTAATATAGAGTAACTTTTATAAAAATAAATTTGACTTTAATTCAAAAAGTAAAATTAATATATCTATCACATCAATATAGAAATCACATTATAAAAAACAAAAAAAAAATCTATCTTAATCTATAATAATTAATATATATATATCTATATAAATATAAAGAATAAAAAATATATATTTTAAATTGTAGAAACTAAAATAAAATAAATAATATTATAAAATTAAAAAATATTTTAACCTTAAAAGTATAAGTAATATATAACTTAAGTAATGTATAAAGAAACAAAATTGTTTTAAATTCGATCGATAATATTTTAGTTTATTTTTGTATATTAATAAATAATTGAGACATTATATGAATTTAAAAGGGTGGGGGATGAAAAGAGAAGAGATAAAGGAGAGCGTGGGAGAGAATTGAGGGGAAAAAGAAAATGAATATGACGACGACGACGACGACGACGAGTGTGTTAGACATGTATGGCATCGTTGCGGCTGTTGTTGTGTTCCTTATATTGTTGCTTTGGCAGCGTAACAGATTGTTCTTTGCTGCATCTCCATCTCCATCCACTTCCTTTTTCGTCTCCGATTCTATCACTTCAAACTCCAGGTCTTAAATAAATTCCACTCTAATCTAATCATCTTATGCTGTAGCTCTTTATTCATATTTTCATTTTACAATCCAACTTACTTTATAGTGTAATTGAGGCTGTTTCGTTTGGGGCTTTGAATAATACCGGCGAAATTAGGAATTTAGAATTTATGGTTTTCTAGCCTTGCACTTTTACCAAAGGTTTCGAGTTGGATTCCTGAACTTGCATAGCTTTAGGATCACTCATCTTCCTCCTTGTGTCGTTTTCAAACCTTACATTCTCAAGTGCAGAATATGTTATTTGTTGAGTTTGTTCTGGGATTGGATTCTTCCTTGATCAATTGCTCCCCTAGAAGATAAGGACTTAGGGAGTAAGGCTTCTCTTCAGAAACAGTAACATTCATGTAGGGTGATATCATTTGTACTCTTTTGGGTGGAAGAATAGCCTTCAAAGACGCATTCTAGATCCCTTGGATTTACTTTCCTCTTGTTGTCACTGTAAATATGGAAAAAGACACGTACCCAAAAATTCCAGAAATGAGGTTGTTCCTAGTATGTATGTCAGGTTAGATTTTGGCTGAAACAGTAATTTCAAGAAGATATCCATTTTTCCTCATTGTTCTTCCATTTTGTTGTGGTATATTTACGCAAGATGACTCATGTATACTGTCCTCTATCGAAAGAATGGCAAAAGGGTTAGTTGAAATAATACTTGGAATTGTTTGGCCTAAGTCTCTTGATGACCCCTCAAGCTGGATACATTTGACTTGTAATATTAGCTTGAGGGGGAGTGTTGAGATTATTCTTAAGATTATGTGATATGCTGAGGTTATGCTTGATATAAGCTGAGATTGTGTTAGAATATTTGTTGTAAAATTTTCCTTTTATTAACTGCACATAATTAGGTTAGAATAGTTTGCTGATCATGTGATGTTTTTTCCTCAATATTAAGAACCCTTGTGTACATTGTTTTCTATATTATTGATTGGTTGACAGGCTCACTCTCAAGCAAGATTTTACCCAAATATTTGTGTCTTGTCTCGAAACAAGTATAAATAAGGCCTTAACGTAAACATAAGGAACACGGATTGCTTGCTATTGTATTGAAATTTTTTTTCCTCTTGATGGTTTACCTTTTTTCTCTAATTATACATGGATTATTAAAGTAATGGTCTGTTATATTTCAACAGTTTCTGGCCTTGATTTAGAATTCCTGATCAGTAGTTTTGATGCATTTGTTTGCTTAGAAGGATGCAAGGAGTCATTCAAGGTGAAAAATAGAATTGTAATTGTAAATCAGAAACATTTGATAATCTAGTACTTAATTCTCGTATAAGGTTTTGGAATCTTAACTACGGTGCTTTTTTGAAAGCTCAATTTTGGATTTAAGAAAAAGCTTCAGCACTGAAGATGTTTTGATGATTCTGTGACACATACCAAGATTATAGTTACGTGAAGTATTGAAAGAATTAAGCGCATAGAAGGCTGCATTGTAAATTCAGCAGCTAATTTTTTTAAAGTAATTAAGTGATATTACTTTGCTTTTAATGTTACTAGCAAATATTTCCCTTTTGATTCACATTCAGTCCAGCACTTTAAAGTGAGGATTTTTCAAGCATACATGATAGAACTTTCAGTGCTATTATTTTTATCACTGAAAAGTTTAGCATTGAATTTCAGTTTAAACAGACATACCCAGATGCCCTAATGCTTTGAGTCATATTCATAGTTGTTTCTGTGGTTATTAGCTAGTGTTGAGGCAGGTGTATAAGATGATTTGATGATGTGGAAGTTTTTTGTCTACTCTTGCAGAACCTCAAATTTTGTGACAGATGCTGATTTGAAATTTTTAATGGAGATTTTGGATGAGAAGCTCAATGAGAGTGATAAATGGGAGGATGTTCTGGATAGAAGGATTGATCATCTATGCTACAATGTGAAATGCTGCAAGCCTAAGGTTACTAATTTGATTTTTAAACTGGATTCAGACTTGAATTGATATGGGTTTTCTGGGAATGTGAAAACATAACTTGTTTGTTTTAATTATAATAAAGTGATTCTTTTCATAAATGTTGTGTGCCCGTTGTCTGAAGTTTATGAAGCTTTAATTGTTATATAATGAATAAAGCATCTCTGTGTTTTGGCCTTTTCTCTCTCACACATTGTGCAGGAATGCCCAGGTACAGACATAAGTGCAGAGTTAAACCATCTCTGATTTGAGCATGAAAAACTATTGACTATAAATTTCTACTTCTCTTGCCCAAATCATTTTTTCTGTTAAATGATATTAATGTCAGGAGGTTACATCTAGTTCTTGTTCCGTTCTTCCAGTGTGTAATCTTAATTTTGATAGCTTCTAATTCAGTAACTTCTATAATATGCATATTTAACATAGTGGTTTTGAAAATAATCTATAAACTACCTAGTTTTTTCTCCACTGATTTTGCAGAATGGTCCCCTGAGATATGTGAGCAAGACTGTGTTCAATAATATTTCATCTGAGATGCTAAGAAACTTCTACATGGATAATGATTACAGAAAGCAGTGGGATAAAACACTGGTTGAGCATAATCAACTGCAGGTGGACAAATCTGATGGTACTGAAGTTGGTCAGACAATTAAAAAGTTCCCTTTTCTAAAGCCTAGAGAATATGTGTTAGCTTGGAAGTTGTGGGAGGGAAGTGATAAAACATTTTACTGTTTTATGAAGGTAATACACCAATCATGGTTTTTTACATAGTAATAATGTGAATAATTGCTTTTGTCTACTTATTAGAGTTAAACTGTTAATGCACTTTGTTATGCCCCATATATCCGTGAATTGTGGTTGCGTTAATATATATTTTTGTTGCAGCTATATCTCTCCCTTCCTCTGTTTCTTCATTTTTTCCCCTATCATTTGAGAGGAAGATTCTATGTAGGAAAAAACAATGACGATAAAGTTCTTAGATTTAGAAACTATATTTGTTAAGAAATTAGAGATTCAGATTGTAACTCACAGGACACTGTTGTTTGCATGTCCAACAATGGCTTCTTTGCGCTTGACCTTGATGATGACTTTCTCGATACCAACTTCAGAGGGCTTGGAATCTTTTTTATGATTCTTGGAAGTTGTTTCATCTTGATCTCTTCACAACTCGATCATAAATCATAATCATGATGGCTGTGCCATAAAGTAATCACCCTTGGAGAATCTGTCCTTGAGATCTTCCCATAAATCTTGTGCACTCTCAAAATAGACTATACTTTGAGCTATTTCTTGTGACAGGGTTCTTGTGATCCACCCAAAAACAGTGGTGTTACATCTGACCCAAGAATCATAAAGATGGTGTGAAATTCCTGGGTTCTTGATGCTTCCGTCTACAAACTTGAATTTATTCTTTGATTGGAGTGCCCTCTTCATGTTTCTGTACCATGTGTGATAATTCGTCCCATCGAGGCTTGGAGTAGCGATAATGGCACCTGGATTCTCTCCTGGGTGGAGATAGTAAGGATTTGAGGATGGATCAGTAATGTTGTTGGTGCCTCCATTTTGGTTTTTGCCTGGTTGGTCTTCGATTATTTCTTCTTCAGCCATGGATGCGGAAATACGTGGCAGAGCTCTCACAGGGAGAGCTCTGATACCATAAAGGAGTATGACAGCACGTGGAAGAGAGAACAAAGGAAAATTATATTTTGTATATTCATCATAATGGTATACATCAGTGGAGAGGCTATATATATACAAGAGCTAAAACACCTAATGGAATAACTAATCCTAACAGAATCTAATTAACAGATAATGAAAAACTTAAACTACTAACTACTCTATTTCTATATCTCTTTTCTTTATTTTCTCCAATATAACATATAATGAAATTGAAAAGGATACAATTTAAAATAACTGATATTGATTTTTTTTATAAAAAAAATGATGACAAGTAAATTTAGATATACTATTTTTTTAGTAAATTTTTTTTTATCTTATAGGGGGAAAATATGCATTTTAACAGAGAAAATAAAGTAACACTTATATCTATAAAGAGATAATAGTATAAATAATATTTTTTTAATGAAAAGTTAACAACAAACTAAAAAATGAATAAAATGTCATCCACTATATATTAAGAGATGAGAGTGTATATTTTATCTTGAATGAAAACTATGATGTTCATACTTGGAACTCAAAATTTGAATAACAATAAACATGTTATTAAAATACTTTAAAGTGAAAGAGAGTAATGTGGGTATGTACGCATAAAGAATTAGGGAAGAACAATTTGGGCAAAATCGATCCTCCCAAGAGATAAAAGAATGAAATAAGGAGGAACCTCAAAAATAATATTTATATGAACACAGTATTTAAAGTCAACATCATGATTTGCTTATCAAAGAATATCACAACATTGAACCTATTTGAGTGTAATTTTAACACATCCAATTTTTTTATTAATTAAAAATTCATAAATTTATTAACTTTTTCTTATTTATAAAAAGTTTAAATGAGTTAAGTTTCATGACTCACCATCATTTTAAGGCTATGGCACAAATTAAAAAATACTCAATTGATATATTTAGATTAAAATACCCTTAGTTTCAACTATTTTATTATAAATTACCTTACATATTTCACATACTTTTAAACACCCACAATAATAGTGGGAGTAGAGTTGATTAGAATTATAATAATATGAAATTATTGAAGAGTATAGAAGAAATTTATGGTTGGTGTCTCTGGTCAATACAACAATTAATTTAGATGGTCATTAACTTTTATCTTTTTCAATTTTTTAATTAAATTTATGAAAGTAGTAAAAAACTAAAAATTCTGCAAATTATTCATTTTGTTACGGTTTCAATCTGTCATACATTAACTCTAAAAACTTAGTTATATAAAATAGAATATAAAATATTTATTTACAATTACTTTTTATGGTGTATTTGGATGAGGAATTTTATAAATTCAAGGAATTTAAACTTTTTGGTATTTGAATTACTTTGATTTTAATTTCTATTATTTTTGAAATTTTGTTTGGATAAGTCAATTTCAAATTTTTAAAATTTTAAATTTTTAGTTTGAATATGAAATTTGATTTCACCATGGTAAAATTAATTTTAAAAAAATATTTGCACAATCTTGAATATCCCCCTTGTTCTTATAAATAGGGATTAAGGTACTCCTACGCCATTCTGATTCTATTTAATATATATAAATTAATATTAAAATAGCGGTTATCCCGCTCCGCGTCATCCCGCTATCCCAGTTTTAGGGTCGACCGCTCCGCGCCGCTATCCGGGATTGACTACTATGGTTAAGATATTCTATGATATTCTAAGATATAGTTTAGATATATTAGTTTATCTTCCTGATTTATAGTTTATCTTAATCCCAAAACTTTAGGGATTGTTTCTTTTACATGTCTATTTATTTGATTGTACCCATCAATTCAGATTAATAAGAAATTATTCATATTCAAGTTGGTACCAGAGCATTCTGGTCCAGGAACCCTAATCCAGGTGCCAACATCTAGGGTTTTCGACTTTTGTTAGCGGTTGCCGGAGTTGACGCCGCCTGCGTATTCAGAGGTCGCCGATCGGCCTCTCCGTCGCGAGCCACCTCCAGCCAGTGTCTCACGCGCGGTTTTTGTTGAGGAAGCTCGTCGGCGCATGGGGTTCACGCGCTGGCCTTCAGGCCTCCGTTTGCAACGCTTTTCACTCCATTGGACTCGTCGGCCCTCCCTCTTCTCCTTTTGACCCTTTTCAGGTTGTGGGTCACACTCTAGGTGGTCTATTGGTGGTCGTTTGGTTGCTGCCTCGGAGTTTCGTGGTCGTTTGGTTGCTGTCTCAAAGTTCCGTGGTTGTTCGGTTGCTGCCTCGAAGTTCAGTGGTCATTTGGTTGCTGCCTTAGTTCTGTTGTCGTTTGGTTGCTGCCTCGAAGTTTCGTGGTCATTTGGTTGTTGCCTTGGAGTTTTGTGGTCGTTTGGTTGTTGCCTTAGAGTTCCGTGGTCGTTTGGTTACTCCTCGGAGTTGTGGTTGATTGGTTGCTGTCTCGAAGGATTTTTGATTGAGTTTTTCTTTTGCTGTTTTTTCTCCTTTTTCTCTTCATGGAAGAGATTCCCAAGGAGAATCCAAAAATTGAATCTTCCTAAAGGGGGTTGGTCTCCTTTACCTTTTCTGGATCACCTACTATTACATCTGAAAAGTTGAATGGTAAAAATTATTTGGATTGGTCCATTGCTGTTGAGATGTGGTTTTTAGGCCAGGTTCTTTATGATCATCTTACTAAGAAGGCGTCCGAGGTTGATAAAGAGGTGAGAGATGAATGGCAGCGAATAGATTATCAACTTGTATCTCTATTATGACAGTCCATTGAGCCTAAATTAATGGTGCATTTCCGTCCGTACAAGACATGCTATGATATTTGGAAGAAGGCCCGAAATGTCTATGCCAATGATATCCAGAGATTGTATGAATCTGTTCGCGGTTTGGCAACCCTTCGTATGGTTGATAATAATTTGCCGATGTATTTGAATCATGCTCAATCCACTATTGATGAGCTCAAGCTAATGTTGGTTAGTGATGATCCTTAGCAAATATTAAACAAACTTGATAATATGTTTATGGTGTTTATCCTTCAAGGCCTTCACAAAGATTACGGATCTGTTCGAGATCAAATTTTGACAAATCCTGTCATTCCTACAGTGGAAGAGCTCATAGATCAATTGATTCGGGTCCCTTCATCGGAGACAGATCCTGACACAAAATCTGAGTCCTCTTCTTTTATCTCTAGTACAGCTAACCGTGGAAGTTGAGGGCGTGGTCAAGGTCGTGGTAAAAGGGGTAGAGGAAACCTCCATTGTACCTACTGTCAGAGAGATGGACATACACGAGACAGGTGTTATTCCTTGCATGGCTTTCCGAGTAAGACAAGTAATGTGGCTCAATCCCTGACTTCGGCTCTAGAGCCCAAGATTGAATCTGAGGGCAATCATCCAATCTCATTATCTGTCGATGATTACAAAGAGTATCTTCAATTGAAGGCAGCTCAACAAGCCCCTTCTTCTGTCACTGTTGCTCACACTGGTAATTCTACAGTCTGTCTCTCTCATTCTACGTCTATTGGACCTTGGGTTTTGGACTCCGGTGCTTCTGATCACCTAACTGGTAATGTCTCCCTTTTCCCTAGCCTATCATCACCTAAAACTCCACATCATATCACTCTTGCAGATGGGTCAGAAGTCCAAGCCACTAGTATTGGCCAAATATCACCTATCCCTTCACTACCATTAAAATTTGTTTTACTAGTTCCTGAATGTCCATTTAATTTGATTTCTATAAGTAAGTTGACTCGGTCACTGAATTGTGTCATAACCTTCACTTCTGATTCTTTCTTGATACAAGACCGGAGTACGGGACAGACGATTGGAGTCAAATTTGAATCACATGGTCTCTACTACCTTCAGCTTTCTACCTCTACCATATGTGCATCTGTTGAGTCTCCTAGTTTAATCCATCGTCGCCTGGGTCATCTAAGCTTGAATAAATTAAAGAAAATGGTACGTCTTCTCTCACGGTTGGAGTCCTTAGAGTGTGAGTCGTGTCAATTAGGGAAGCATGTTAGAACTTCTTTTCCTAATAATACTAATAGTTGAGTTGTGTCTCCTTTTGATGTCATTCATTCTGATGTTTGGGGTCCTAGTCGTGTTCCTTCTCTTTTAGGGCATAGGTATT